GAGATGACCGTGAACTGAGGCTGCTGGATGGGGGTGGAGGGGCTGAGGACGGTGGCGGAGGCTGGGCGCTGCAGGCGGGGTCTCTTGGGGGGCTTGGGAGCGCTGACGGGCATCAGCACCACGTTCTGGATGGTTTGGGACTTCGCCTTCTGGTCCTTGGCAAGTTTCTTCTGCTCTTCCAGCTGCCGCTCCAGGTCTGCAAAGAGAAGGGCTAAGCAGCGCCTTGGGCTAGGGCCAGCACGCTGCAGGGGCTCCTGGGGACTCAAGGGCTCCACAAACAGCCATTACATCCCGTATTTGCGACGGGAGGTCTCCTAACCCCCCAGTCGAGCGTGATCTTAGCGTTTCACTCAAGATCAAACTGCACCGAAGGAAAAGGCTAGATTCTCCTGCCACCCACACGGACCTGGTCAACGTTCTGCGCCCGCTCAGCCTGCTTCGGCCGGCTGTCAGCGCCCGGACAAGGAACAGGCAATGCTCTGTACCAGCTGGCTACTCCTACCGATGAGAAGACGGGCACTTTGGCTCCCCAAGCTAGACCCACCTACGAGGGAGAGCGGACAAGCCCCTCCAGGCAGTAGGAACTGCTTCCTGAGCTTGGCTGGGTCCCCTCCCCAGGAGCCAAGCACCTGTGCTGGGGACAGGGAGCAGGACCGCCTCGGTCAACGAAACATCTCCCCCAACCCTTGTCTGTGTGAACACTGGAAGTCAGAAGTAGCACAGTAATCTCACTTATCCAGGGCAGTAGGGGACTAGGACGTGCCAGGTAAGAACAGGTCCTACAGGACACGGCGAGGAGGGAGACACATCCAGCAAGCGGCTCTGGGGAATTCAGGTCAGGTTATTGGCTTCAGCTCAGGGGAAGCCGCGCAAGACACCTGATAGCTCCGCGCCAAGACAAGCAGACAACCCAGCACTCCCTACACAGGGAAGCTTATTAGCTTGGGCACAGCTCAGATGACTACCGCACAGCCCTCAGCTAGCAAGCACCTACTTCCTAATGCCGACTGAGTCGGGCTCGCACCCCCAGCGCCGCAGCAAAGGGCACAGACTTCGGGCCGTCGAATGCCCCAAGCAACTGCTCACTGCGAGGCAAGGGAGAGGGGGAATTCCGCTCACGCCCTAGGATGGAAGGGGACTGGGATGCATTTGTTTTGGGGCAGCGTGTATTGAACAATAACCCAAACACGGTTCATATGTTGGAGGAAAGTCGCATCAGCTCCCAAGAGCAGCAACGGGATGAGAAGCCGTACTAGGCGCCGACTGTACCTGCCAGTGTGTAAAGAAATTGTTCCTCTCCTTGCTCTGTCTGGTTTTTCCTGTTGTCCAGAACCTTCTTGACTGTGTCCATTAGGCCAAATGTGTGGGCGACGTTGTTCAAGACTGCAGCATCTGCAAGGAAAGTGCGTGGGGACGAGTGCCTAGTCCCACAGGTGGGACTCAGTCAGGTACTCAAAAGACGCTCGTATTACACCAAAAATTTTCTGCTGCTTTTTGTAAAGCTACCTCTGTTCTTTCACAAGGGCTGGCTGACAAGGGCAGACCCAGCTCCCTCATCCTTCTGACATCCAAGGACTAAACAATCCCATTCGCATGATAAAGAAAATGAAACAGAGATGTGTCACCCAAGCAGCACAAAATTGCTGCAAATGAAAGCATGATTTGCAATCAGAGAGATACAAACGAGCTTTCCACCTACAAATCATCACCCCATGCTGCTGACAGTGTCATTAACATGCCAGCTCCACTGAAAGCTGTGCAAAATTTCTGTTATAATCCACTGACTTCAATCACTTACAGCTTCCAAAAGCTGCCACCTACCAGACACAAAGATCCGCCAGCCCAAAGCTAAATTAGAAAATAATAAAAAAAAATATCCTGGGTAAAATGAAGTTCGTGGCTACATGGACGTTCTCTCAGCAAGAACATCAACAAGAGGTGCTCTCAAACCCTGTGCTCACAGGGGCATGTGCTGAACTGCATTAGGGAACTGATCCAAGTTAAAAATAACCCTAAAGAGGGGAGGGGAGTTATTTTTAACCCAGATCAGTTCCCTCATCTGCTTCAGCCCCAAAAACAGGTTTTGTGGCACAAGTGAAGACAGAACGAGAAGCGAGGGGGCAGGACCTGTTGAAGCCTGCACTGTCACGGAGAAAAGCGTTTGAGTAACTCTGGTCCGAGAAGTGAACCTGGCCAGGCTTTCACCAGGGCCGGCAGCCGAGGACAAGTCGCCCGATGGTCTCAGCAAGCCGCCAGGGCCGTTTTGCTCAGGGAAGGGGGTGGCGCGTTGCGTCCCCGTGCCCGGCAGCGGGGCAAGCGAATGCGCTTCGGAGTTGGGCGGGCTGACACCGCACGCAGACTCGGCTCCCACGGCCCAGCTAACGAGCGGTAACTCGCTCGCCACCCTGGCTCAACAGCTTTAATGGTGGGGCTCGATGGTCTCAGCAAGCCGCCAGGGCCGTTTTGCTCAGGGAAGGGGGTGGCGCGTTGCGTCCCCGTGCCCGGCAGCGGGGCAAGCGAATGCGCTTCGGAGTTGGGCGGGCTGACACCGCACGCAGACTCGGCTCCCACGGCCCAGCTAACGAGCGGTAACTCGCTCGCCACCCTGGCTCAACAGCTTTAATGGTGGGGCTGGACCCTTGCTTTGCTCCTTTCCCCCTTTTTTTTTTTTTTTTTTTTTTTGCCTGCAGCTGCCCTTTTGAGCATCCTTCCCCACCGCAGAGCCAGAGGCTGTGCCTCACAACCTACCCGTCATCTGGAAGGGAGACTGACCCAACCTCTGCTGGACGCCGCGTAGGACTTCTTCTATCTCCTTCTGGATGTTGCACACGACCTCTTCCATCAGCCCCACATCAGCTATTCCTTTCCAGAACATCAGCGTGTCCTCTGGCACAAGGAGAAGGGAAAAAGAAGTCAACGTGTACAAGCATTTGGCATTTTTCCCACAAGGCTACCTCAAACCTTTCGGGCAAGAGCAACTTTGCAAGGCGACTTCTAATTTGGCCGTTGGGGTGGAGGACACGCAAAAAAAACCCCAAACCCAAAAGAAGCAAAAATCAGTAACATGTTTTCAAGCAGCACTATGACTTCCAAGGCCACATTTCACTGCCTCTGTTCATCTTCGCAAGACGCGGAGCTTAAAAGCCTTTGAGGAAACTCTGCCTAAGCTTCCGTACTGATCCTAAGAGGGAAGGCAAGGCACCGCAGCGAGAGAGACGCAGCCAGGAGAGCTGACGGGGCACTAACGACACTGCTCACTGGGGGTTTCAGCCTAGCTCCAGGCTGGCAGATGTTTACGTCCTTCGAATGAACAAAATAAGCCCCTCAATGTAACTAGTAGCAACTGATCTGGGGGATCACCCATCAGCCACAGGGCCAGGGCTGAAGTCTCACTCTGCCTGCCGGCGGTGAGGAGCGCCGTTTGGCAGGGAGCCGGCACGCCTGGGAAATGCTGGGATAGCCAAGGGGCTGGGGGACGGCTCTGTCATTGCCTGAACTCTCCTTATTTTCAGGATTTCAGTCTCCGGAACGTAACAGGCGAGGAGAGGGGGGGGAAACACCCAACAAGCAGCCTGAGCTTACCCGAGATCTCATCCGTGTCCTTTTTCATGCCTTCCTCAGTGGCCATGGTGACGGCAGCCGTCAGAGCCGAGTTCCACTCGATCCCCTCCTCCATGCTCTCCTCCGACAGCGCGATCTGGGTGATGCTCCCTGCCAGAGAGGCAACGTCAGCTCTCTCTGCGGCACCCGGAGCGCCAGCCCTGAATCCCTGCTTTGCTTTCCACCCCCCTCACCCCTCCCAGGCTCTTTTTCACTCTCGTGGTCAAGTTGTTTGTGCCTGGTTTCTTTCAACCAAATTAGCTACAAGCAAATATTGCTGCTTCTCATTGGAACTGTGATTGTGAAAGGCTCTGGGGCTTTCTGGAGGGAAAACCATGTGCCCTCCAGAAAGCAAACTGGAGTCCTGGCATAAAAGGAGCAGGAAAGGATCAGAATAAAGAAGAGAACAAAGAAGCCGCAGCTCAGCCACCCTTCTCCCCTTCTTGCATCATCAACAGGGAGCTCTGCGCCCCAGAGATGCCCCAATCCTTCAGGAAATGACAGGGTCAGGGTCCAAGCCGGTTTATAGAAGGGAAATGGATCTGACTCAATCCTAAGTTTCTGGATCAAATCTGGGACTAAGCCAATGTGCAGCCACCGTAAGGTTTTCCCATGTGGCCACGGTGCTTTCCAGGAGACTCTCCTCAGCTCGCTGGCTACTCCTGCCATCTCACCCACCCAGGGCCTCAGAGAAACGTAACCTGCCCGCCTGAACGATACGGTACGGTTGGGAGCAGTCTCCTCCCTTAACCTCAGCAAAGAGATCGCTTTCTGCTCCGAAGCACGGGATTCGCTGCGAACTTGCAGTTGGAATGACAATCAATGTGCAGCCATCACACCCCGTTCGTGGATGTCCAGGTGATGCGGAGCAGGCTGCTCCGGAGGAGGTCAGCGTGCCTAGATTCATTCCTGAGTATCGGCACATCCCGTGCCTTTGTAATAGGCCCTCAAATAAGGAACGTGCTGGTTTTGGCTGGGGTAGAGTTAATTTTCTTCATAGTCACCTGTACGGGGCTATGGTTTGGGTTTGTGCTGGAAACAGTGCTGGTAACACAGGGATGTTTTCAT